GAAGCTCCCCACAAAGAGAGAAAAACAGTGGTCACTGCCAAGTTTTAGAGAGCTGTCAAAGTTGAGGAAAGTCAGCTTTTCTCAAGTCATGGATTTGGAGACTTCAAACATATATTGGGTTTGTTCACTTCCTTTCTTAATCACCTTACAACATTGCTTCTTAACTGCTTTTTGGATACTACAAACATTTGACATAAGTTTTATCATACTAGATGATCCTCCTTCAATCCTCAGCAAAAAAAAGTTTCATGCGTAAGTTTTAAGAATTAAAAAAACTGAAACAAACAGCAAAAGGGTGATTAGAATGTTGATTTGGAAAGTTATACAGGTAATCCCTGAGTTACAAGTGTTCACTTAATGCTTGTTTGAGGTTACGTGACAAGCGCTCCCTAGTATTTACGAGCAAGTCCCAAAATCACAAATATTGCAGCACCACGGCAGCCATTCACCCTTATGAATAACTGCAGAGGCTCTGCAACATTCACCCTATTCCCTTCAACTGCTTCCCCCTCCCTTCCTGCCACACCGGATACACTCACCTTGCAAAATCTGACTTCTCTCTGCCACAGTTGCCTTCCCTTTGAGGGAGAGGAGAGTCGGCTTGGAAATGCTTTTTGTGCTGATCATGAAAGCTCCTGGGTGCCATAATATCGCATGACTTCAAACACAAATTTTCTGCAAAAGACATCATGGCCCCCAGAAGCTTCCATTTTCAGGGGGAGAATTGTTTGCTTTGTTTGAATGTGTATATGGCAAAGCGTGTAATTAGAGTTGGCAGGGCACAGGAACCAATGCCATCCGTTGCCCGAGAATGCTGCTCGCTCGCATGCGCCGGCCTTGGTTTGAAGGCAGAAAGGAAGCCTTAAATTGAGCAGGGAGGCATCGTGGAACCAGGTCCCTTGTACTTGGGTCCAAGCTGCTGTTGGTGGCGGTAGCACCCACCTGAGCAGCCATTATCCCTCCTCCCCTGTCAGCCACCCACCCCGCCTGACCTACTCCTTGCCTGACCGGCTGGCTGGCACAAATCCTTCCCGCTCTTCTTGTCCTCCCCACTCAAGCGGCAGCAGTGGCTTGAGTTTCTCAAGTGGAGATGCAGCAGCAAGATGGCTCTCAAGAAGATCCAAGTGCACTGCTCACTTGCATGCACCGGCCTTATTGAAAGCAATTCCATTGCTGTGCTTCCGTTTTTTTCCATTTGGACGGAGCTAAGAAACTCAAGCCGCTGCTGCCGCTTGAGTAAGAAGGTCGACAAGAAGAGTGGTCAGGATTTGTGCCAGCTGGCCTGCCAGGCAACGAATAAGTTGGGCAGAGTGGCTGGGAAGAGGGGATCATGGTCGCCATCAGTGGCTTGGGTTTTGAAGTGCCCCATAGGTGCTGAAACACTTTTTATCCAAACAGAAACCTGACAAAGACTGGCACTTTGCGTGGCTGCCAATGCCCACTTAGATATGGAGCAGAAGGATCTGTTTCTCAAGCGCCTCATTCCAGGCATTTGAAGCTTGCAGTCTCTGTCAGGTCTCTGTTCGAATAAAAAGTGTTTCGGAGTCTATGGGACGTTTGAGAACAAAGCAAATGCTTTGTTTCCAAACGCCCCATAGGGGCTTAAATGCTTTTTACCCAGACGGAGACCTGACAGAGACTGGAAGTTCTGCGTGGCTGCCAGTCGATGCGTTTTACTCCATTTCTAAGCACACATTTGCATGCAGATGGAGCTTCCAGTTTCCCCAAGGTCTCCGGTCTGGTGAAAATTGTTCTGGCAGTGGCGGAAAGGAGTTGAGGGGGCGGGAGCAGGAGATAAGCAACACAAACACCCTGAGAGTTCAGGCTCCCTGTAAGGACCCGCCTCAATCAGTTCTCCTAAGAAAGCAGAACTCTTGAAACGACATCATTTATTGGGAGGTGTTGACAGCAGGAATAGAAGGCAAGATCTGAGAGTTTCCTGTGTGAATCAAGTAATTCAAAGTGTCCATAGTAACCCCACCCTAACTGTTCCTCTGGACGGTTCAAACAGGCCTATCCGCAGGTGTGAAAACGGCGTAGGAACAGAGTGATAAGGTGCCACTTCCAAGGCTATTAGTGTCTGCGCCATCTCTTCTGCGCTTGGAGAGAAGGCAGATGGCTGGAGGTACATTCCATTCTCACCCCATTAGAGACACATCAAAAAGGACAGAGCAAGAGACAGAGCAAAGCAAATACACATCGGCACCTCAAGCTCCCCCCCTCCCCCCGGAGAATAGCAGAACCCAGAAAGAATAAGAAATCCCATGGAAACAGAACATAGGGTTCTGACACTCCTATTCTCTGCAAAAGAGGATGGGTGCCTGAACTCGTGCAATATTACGGGCACCCAGGAGTTTCCATCAGCTCTCCTCTCCTTCAAAGGCAGAAACCGCGGCAGAGATGGACTTTTCAAAGTAAGTGAGTCTGGTGTGGCAGGAAGGGAGGGGGAAACATGAGGTATCTTAGTGGAGTGGAGAGGCCTTGGGGGCCTGTTCCATCACTAGGCCCCCATGGCTGTCCCCACCCTGAGAAACCTCATGTTCACTTAATGATCCATTCACTTGTTAACGAGCAGAGGGTGATCTCGTTCAAGGTACAAGATTCACTCCCACAAATTCTCGACTTATGAATGGAATGGGCAGTCTCCATTACATTTGTAACTCGAGGACTATTTGTAAATGGACTAAGTAGCCAAATGGATTTGAAATAACATTTTGAAATTAATTGTAAGAATCCTTCTTGTGGGTTGCTTAAAATTCTATTAAAAGTATACAGTACAAGACTTTGAATCTAAGTGTAAAAAATCTTTCAATGGAAAAATGTTGTGGGTTAGAGAAAAACATGATAAAGGAGACTTTGAAGGCTGGACACTAGAGGCAACTACAAAGAACTAAAGAAGAAATCCACTAATACAGAAAGGAAAAATTATTTAACTTTGGAAGAATTCAAGGATATTGGGAAAAATACACTAAAAAATTTCTATTAAGATGTCTGCTATCATAAGAATGGGCTTAAAAGAGGAACTGGAAGAAGATATTATTGAGAATCAGGCTATTTTGGATTTGGATTTTAAAAGATGAAGATTCTTAATATGTTGTTCTTAGTAGCTGTTAATGGGTTTTTACTGAGTGGGTCTGAATGATGAAGCTTTAAAGATTTGTCTATAGATGGATACATGAAGAAGAGATTGTTTGTATTTTAAAGAAAAAATAAGACTGTTAAAAGTAAAGGAATATGAAACTGATCTATTTGATTATATATTAACATGTGTGTTGTTATTTCTGGTAACTCTTAGGGAGTTTTGCTGACTAGGACTGAATTACCAATATTTATGATTTGTTCATAGATAGGAGATGAGATATATAACATGGGAAGTTCTTTTGTATAAATGATAACGGTAGGGATGGTGATAAGTTACTTGCACTTGTCTTGATGAAGAAGCAAGTAATATATATATATAAATTTGTCTCAGTCATGCACAAGAAAAATACACAGGACTTGTTAGTGGAGCTTTACAGAACTACATTTAAAAAAAGAAGAAGTGTGGTATGGAACCCTCGCTCCCAAACTCCCAAAGCAAAATAGCCACACATGAAGGGTTGGAAGATGAAAGAGAACAAGAATGGAAACAGAACAGAGAAGACAATGTCCAGATGAAGAGAAGTCTTCATTCCTTCTAGTCTTAGTTGATCAGACGGTACTTAGAATAGTGTATCCAGTTCTGAGCACTATATATTATGAAATGCATTGCTAAACTGAACTCTGTTTAGAGAACAACCAAGATAATAAGAGACCTGGAAGGGAAAACAAAAAATCAATTGGAGTTTTGGATGTCCCTCTAAAGAAAATCACAGGAAAACATCTAAAGGGCTGTCATATGGAAAATAACAGAAAATTGTTCCAGAATTGTTCTATTTCTACAGAAAAAACTTGTGCTCTGGCTACTATCAGGCCCTATTCAAATCGACCTATTTTAAATAGCTACAAATGAGTGTGTTCTATAGTCATTCATCTATCATCTTTACCAGTGATGGGATTCAAATATGTGAACAACCGGTTCTCTGTGTGGATACCGCTTCCAGAAGTCTATTCTGGGCCTGAGCAACAAAAAATTAGCTACCGGTTCTGCCGAAGTGGTGCGAACCGGCTGAATCCCACCACTGATCCTTACTAAGTCCTATTGTCACTGCAGCCTTTGTATTGAGACTGTCTCCTCTGAAAAAAGAGATTCCACACCCAGTCTGAATGGTTTTAACCTATATCTATTTGTCAACATAAATGTAAACACGAGGGTCAACAGGTAGAAGCAACAACAGTTTTTCCTCTTCTTGGGAGGCATCTTCTAACATGGCTATAATATCATTCATTTCAACAGCTAAGTCCTAAGGTAGCCTTACTGATTTCAAAGTGAACACCTAATCTACAAATAGTGGCTGCCCTGATCTTCATTAGCCATCCAAATGGTGATAAGTATAGTCATCCTGATTCAAGTAAGGGCAGCAAAAATAGCAAAAGTAACCACATCTCACTGACTATATTGCCAATATGATGTTTTATCCACTGTTCACATGTGCACCAATCCAGCTGAACCAGTTTTCGAAGTCTTCTCTTCTTTCTTCTTCTCTTTGCCACTTGACTGTCTCCTTATAGACACATACCTTCAGTTATCTTTGACATAGATTTATGCTGTCCTTTCACATGAATTTACAACCGTCATATAAGACAAACCAAGATGACAGAAATGAGATCTTAATCCAAGCCACAATTTATTTTCCAAAACATACCTTCTGTTCTGCAGATTTATACTCTTAGCATACACACACATGCACAAACATACTCACAAATACCAAAAAGGAAATATATAGTGATTGTGACCAGGAAGGAGGTACCAAGAGTTAAACATTCATCAGTGAAAATACCACTGTTTGAAAGCTATGAAAATGGTATTATTATGAAAAGTACTGGAAAAAATTAGTATTATAATACTAGACAGAACTTACGGATTTCTTCAATAATATCTGGATCACATTCTTTATATTTATCTACTTCTGCCTTTAGATGGTCTTTCTTCTGTTGTAAGGCACTAAATTCCTTTATTAGTGCTGCGCGTTCTGCCTGAATACATTTAATTTGGGAGAATCCAAAATAAAATAATCATCATTATCATTACAATTTATCACGTTTTATGGTCACTGCCCATACAGAGAATCCAATTTCTTATCTAGCAGATAAAACTGGTGCACTGTAAGATTTTTTTTCTATCACATATAAGTGCAATATAATTATGACAGTAATACAATAAGACAGGATTTCTATTTTATTTATTTAGCATATGCAAATTTAGTTTAAATATGTGAGTGTGTCTGTGTGTATTTACACACACGCACACACACACACACACAGAGGTAATCCTCAACTTACAGTTACAATTAAGTCCAAAATTTCTGTTGTTAAATGAGACATTTGTTAAGTGAATTTGCCCCATTTTCCGACTTTTCTTGCCACACTTGTTAAGTGAATCATTGCAGCTGATAAGTTAGTAACCCAGTCGTTAAGTGAATCTGACTTCCCCATTGACTTTGCTTATCAGAAGGTCGCAAAATGTGAGCATATGACCTTGGGACACAGCAAATCATAAATATGAACCTGTTGCTAAGCATCTGAATTTTGATCACATGATCATGGGGATGCTGCAAAGATCATAACTGTGAAAAACAGTCATTAAGTCACATTTTTCAGTGCCGTTGTAACTTTGAACGGTCACTAAATGAACTGTTGTTAAGTCGAGGACTATCTGTATATATAAAATTAATATGTGGACAATACAATATAGAAGATAATATATTAAGTAAAGATAAACCAAAATAAAATCACCATAATATGGAGCCATGGAATTTCAATGGGATAGATATAATCTGATATCTAAGGAAGCTGCCCATCTAACTGCTTCTGGTGTGGCTGCGATGAAATCATCCCAGGTACCTCGAAATTTCCTGAGGGGACATTTTTAAACTATGAAGTATATGAAAGGGTATGAAATATAGACTACCTCCACAATGGTATACCCTGGGCAATGTACTGTCTTAACAGGGAAGCTAAAAGTCTATATACACAATAACCAAACTGGATATTGCATCTCTTATGGTCAAAAACTACAGAGGCAGCAATTAGACAGGATTTATACTATCTGTTAAATATATATTTCAGGGCTGAGTAGAAAAGCATGTGTATTTTTGGCAATAATGGTTTAAGTATGTGCAGATTATTAGAATGCATCTCTAGTTACAGTTCTTATAAATCCATGTTCATAATCTAGTATGGTATGAATACTTTAAAGGAAAGTGTAACAAATTAAAAAAGGATTTAGAAATAAAATGATTTCTAAAATATATTTAGAATTTCAAAGAAACTCCCCTCATGTAACATATAATATTAGTACTATTACAGAGCTGTGTTTTAGGTCAGAGATGCCCAACCTTTTGGGCACCAGGGACTGGTTCCATGGAGAGAGGTTTTTCTGTGGACCGGAGGGTGTGTGGTTTTGTGTGCTGCCTGCATCTCGTGGATGGGGCTTTGCTTGTTTGTGCAGACCAGTTGCTGGCATGTGACGGCCCAGTACTGGGGGTTGGGGATCTCTGTTTTAAGTAACACAGACAACCCTGCATTTTACAGCTGCCATTTACCCAAAATCCATACTTTCATCCTGACCACTATATTTCAAATTGGAATTCCATCTGAACTTGGGGCATGGCAAAATAGGGATTCCATGGTATTCCACCCCACCAGATTTTTTAAAAATTATTTCAGAAGGCATCATAAAAGAATACAAAACTATCACAAGATTTAAGATATTGTCATGCAGTAATTTTTTAGGGCTTTTGAGCCACCACGCAAAATTACACATGGCAAATGGGGCTTGATTTGTTGCTAATCAGTGTTCTGAAATAAAACGTACAGTATCTTGCCGCCCAATTTTTGATTGCTTGATGCTTTCTTCTAAATCCTTTTTCTTCTGACAATATTCTGAGAACTAAAGGAAAAGAAAAATTATATAATTAATATTTATATTCAATATTCATTTTTTAAATTTCATTTTCATTTTAAAAAATGACATTTAGTTTCAAATGGGCTTAGATTTCTATAATATGCCTGTTCATAAGATGGCTATTATGGTTAATTAATCATAACAAAATATCCATTTACTGGAAGATTATGAAAGAATAGCTTCTTTCTGCTGGATAACAGAATTATACGGTGTAAAAATATGTGGCGAGAAAGACACTTAAGATAGGAATATATATATTTTTAAGAAAGCATTTCTCTGAGATAGGCTGATGAAAACCCAAATATCACTCAAACCAATAAGTGATACTTTACACCTAGACCCACACAGGTAAAATATTCATGCATACAAAGATGAATTCTCCATCATACCAGCTTATTTTGCTTTTTTTCTGTGCAGATCAGTAATCTTAATAAAATATCAAGCTACAGCCAAACCATCATTTTTATTTCTCCAAGATTATCAAAGGGCACTAGGTAAGTCTTAAAAGTCTTATAATGCTAATAGCTGGTGCTTTGCAGCAAGTCAACATTCACTTATTATTTTTAATTAAAAATATTTTTTAAAATTAAAATAGGTAAGGAGTTTATTGGGATTCGAAGAAACTGTTCATTAACAGACTTGAACACATTAGCAATACACTGCTTATCGTATCGTATCATATCATAATCATATCTATTACCAGACATCAGTGTCAAGACATATGCTTTTTATGTTAATGTTTATGGTTCAATCCTTTGCTGCTTTATGCAGAAATGGAAAAAAATCTCTTTCTAACACAAACTATTACATTTAATGAGGAGGTGCAAGTATGAAATAAGATATTACAGTTGTTGTGAGAACCACCATTCACAAAGTAATAAGAAAAATCATACACCAAACCAGTTATAAAAACAAAGAATAACTAAAAACCACCGCTCTCATTCAAAAGTCAATTTAAACTCTGATTTAGTGATAAATGGGGCTAGCTGAAATTCATGTGATATTTAAAGTCTTTCACAAACAATTATTATAATTTTATATATTTATGAGATTTAGATGACTGCAGGTCTTTTATACAATAACCCTGAATAGCTCACAAAAACAACAATAAAACCAAAGAAAAAATAGTAACAGCCTAAAAAAATAAAACAGTATAAACAACAAAAACCAACTCCCAAAGCCCAAGAACCAAACTCCTTTATGTTGACATTTATACCTCACCCTAGTCCAACACTTCGGAGAAGAGCCACTCCCTCAAGACCTTCTAGATTCTGAAGCTAAGAGGTGGGAGGCTTGCCAACTCTCAGGGCAGTGGCTGCCACTGAGAAGTTACCCTTCCTGGATCTCATTTTTTTAAGAAGAAACTGGACAGCCATTTGTCCAAAATGGTATAGGGTTTCTTGCCTGAGCAGGGGGTTGGACTAGATGACCTCCAAAGTCCCTTCCAACTTTATCATTATTATTATTATTAGATGACAACACTTAAGGGAGGGGACCCTGGGATATACCTTCCCTATTCCACTTGGTGGAATGGGCAAACATCCTTAGGGAAACAAGGTCCTTCAAATAACATTCAGGGTTTTAAAGGTGCTATTCAGACTTTTAATTGCAACCAGAAAAACATGGAAACCATTTCAGCTTGCACAGTAGGAATATAATATAGACAAACTGCAAAATACCTATAACAGTGCACATTACTGCATTCTGGGTCAGTTGTGACTTCCAGGTAGCCTTCAAGATGCCTATGTACAGTACTGTGAGTACAACAGCTGAAAAATGACTAAGCCATGAGTGACTATGATAAATGTATTTTATCAGTTTGTGTGTATATACAAACATATGTTACATAGCGAAAACATGGCTATATAGGTGGCATAGTGTATGTGCATTAAATTTATTGAATGGTTTTCTAGAGGGGTAATTGGTTTAATTTATGGCAACAGAACACACTCAGTGGCTTATCAATTCCTTGAAGATAATTTGTTAGGTTTTAAAACAGTTCTTCTCAAACCTGGGTAAATTATCTAAAATCAGGTAAACGTGTTTTTTTTCTTCAGCTAATAATACAGAAATCACAGGGACATTTAAATAAGGACATTCTGATAAGTAGTAAAAAGAACTTTGATAAATGGTTTTGGCAATGAAGGAAAAAGTTTGGGAAGGGCTACTTTAAGATGTCACAATAGTTCATTGCTTTTATCACTTAAATCTCTATTTTTGATGAATTAATCTTAACTTTGTAAATGGCAGCAGCTGCTGATAAACTTATAAAAAGGCATTCTCAAAAGTTTGAAAGAGTATATAAATTCTGCATGAATATAATAAATACAGAAAAAGTGCTATAATCTCAATATTTTATATGTTCAGCACCATGTCTTTTTAATATCTGTAAGTATATAGACTATTGGATGAGTTACTGTATTTTAACGTCTCTGAAATGTTTGCTAATATAGCAATTTTTATGATCAGATTTCCAGCTAAAACTGAGAATGGTTCACAGCATAACATACAAACTATTTTACTAAGGTTCTGTTCTGTTGATTTACTGACAAGTAAATTGTAGAATCTACTCTATCCACATTGCCTTATATGGGAAAGCCTCTCAAAAGGTATTTTTGCACAGGATATTTTTATACAGCAACTCACTCATTTTTGCAGCAAAGATAAAAAATCAATCTTGGATCTCAGCTTTTTACATTCCAGCATTTTAACATTTTAAACAAAAATCTCTTTCAACTTATAGTATTGCTTGATTTAGCAAATCTTTCTGCATTGCAGAAATGATACTACACAAATTGACTTATCTGGAACTGATGACTAAATATTTATAATCCCATTAATAGGATAATAAGACATCCAGTAAAAGATCAGCGTTTTTACATAATTATCTATCAGGCATTTCTAGTAAACCATAAATAAAACTTGAGGGCCTTGGCATTTTCTTACTAATGTTCTCCCAACAACCAGTAGTATGCATAACATTTTGCTTTGGCATCTGTAAGGCGACCAACCGTCCTCCTTTTGGGAGGACAGTCCTCCTTTTGTGAGTTCTGTCCTCCCTTGAAAAGTGTCCTCCTAAATGTCCTCCTTTTCCATATACCGTCCTCCTTTTGGGAGAACAGTCCTCCTTTTGGGAGTTCTGTCCTCCCTCGAAAAGTGTCCTCCTACATGTCCTCTTTTTCTATATATGAAGACTAATCTGCAGGGCTTTTTTTTTCCTCATAGAATGCTCAGAAGGTGTTCCGGGACCTTTTTTGATGGTTTTTTTCAACTTTTGCATGAGCTGTGCTACTCCCCCTATTGGCTTTCGAAAGCCAATAGGAATTGCTGCTGAGCACGCCAAAACACCCGAGCGGCAAACTTTGCACGTGCAAGTTGCAGGAACTTTGCACCCCTCACTGCTACCCAACTACACCATCTACTACTTAGTTCCGAAGATAGCTGGAGGAGATTGGAGCAGTAAGTTTCTCTTGATCTTCCCTGTTCGGTTCTACACGGGGATGCACAGGGTAGGCAGTGGTGCTGGGGGGCGGCTGGGGGGGGGTGGCTGCAGGGCCAGAGCCGGTGCGGCTGGTGTTTTGTGAGCCATGGGGCCAGCTCTACGGGGATGCACAGGGTGGGCGGTGGTGCTGGGGGGTGGCTGGGGGGGCGGCTGCAGGGCCGGAGCCAGCGCGGCTGGTGCTTTGCCTTTGCGAGCCACAGGGCCAGCTCTACGGGGATGCGCAGGGTGGGCAGTGGTGCTGGGGGGCGGCTGGGGGGACGGCTAGTGCTTTGCGAGCCGCGGGGCCGGCTCTCCACGGCAGGGCAGCAGTGATGGCAGGGCGGCTGTGGGCGCGGCGGGCAGTTGATCTTCCATGGGCTGCGCCAGCTGGTGGTCTATGCAGTGCTGACCTGTGCTGCCACCACCTCGCCCTGCGCACCTATGTGGCCGTCCTGGAGCACCTGGCTCACAACACCTGCCTCTGCCACTCACCCCCGCACAGTCCAGCTGTGTAGATTTTTGGACAAGTGAGAAATCGAGATTGAATGTTGATACTCTAGCTGCAGCACTTGCCGTAAAATTCAATATGAAGGATATTTCTTGTTCAGATATTTCCAGTATACTGTTAGAAGATGATACATTGACAAAAAATATTCATTCAATGGAAAAGTACTCATTTAAATAATTAATAGGCATGTAAGCATAATTACAATATAAAATGTTATTGTTACAAATGTTTTTATTATGCATTTATCATATTATACTGTATTCTGTATTATTGTTGCAATAAATACAATGTTTCTTTTATTTATTCGTGTCCTCCTTTTCTTTGTAAAAAAGTTGGTCACCTTAGCATCTGGAAATATTACTTTTCTTTTAAAACCAACTAAGTTGGTTCCCATCAAATTCACACAATTTTGCATTATGCAAAGTTCTTCCTTAATCTCTGTGCTCAAGATTTTAGGATTGTAAGCATACCTAGCATGATAACTGTGTTCACTTAGTTTGATAATGCATAATTTTACATACAGGGCCATTTCCTGAACCTCCATATTTCTTTTAAGGTAAAAAGCTCCAAATGCTGCTGTATTTCATGAAAAGTAATTTGATTTAGCAATTTAGTAATGTTATTTAATCAGAAACAATAGTGAAAACATAGCTTTAACCATACCAAGAAATAAAACTGAACCTTAAACAATGTATTTTCTACACTCATAAACTTCCCAAAATAATTCCTGAAATTCGTGTGCTATTTAGCTACGAAAAAAAAATGAAATAATCCTGCAAAAAATGATGATGATAATGATAATATAATAATGATTATAGTCATCATAGACACAGATGGAATAGTAGATTGGACTGGAGCAGAACTAAAAGCCCTGGATAGGAAGAGTAGAAAAATAATGACAATGAATCCTATCCTTTATCCTCGCAGTGACACAGACTGACTCTACCTACCAAAGAAAATAGGTGGCCATGGAATGTTGCAAGTACATTGGATGTT